AGAGGTACTGTTCTTGGAATATACCCGCAATGCCCCTTTGCTTCATCGCCACTTTCAGTGTCGTCTGTACCGCATTCTGAATCGGTGTCATTTATGAGCGACCTCTCAATTTCAGTTTCTTCCATGCAAAATGAGGCCATGGTGGATAGTTGAAATTGCCATGTTTCATAAGCGTTACGATTAGAGTTGTCCTTCAGAAACCCTGAGTGTGTATATCTCGAAGTAACCACACAGGGGTACTGTTCTCGACATAGCCCCGCACTGCCAGAACGTTCTAGCCTAGCGCGTTGTGTTGTGTTGTATTGTGAATAAAACATCACAATTTAAACTAGCCACCATGGCCTCATTTCACCTGGAAGAAGCCGAAATTGAGAAGCAGCTGATTAATGACACCGATTCAGACTGTGGTACAGAAGACTCTGAGAGTGGCGAGGAAACAACAGGCTCAGAACCTGAAGTCGACGAAGACCCATCAGCTTTGTCGGCAACCTGGGGACCACCAGCCCAGCATGGCATGAGGGTTGTGAATAATTATTCCGGTGGAGCTGTGGGGTTAAATATCAATGAAGCTCCGCACATAAATAAGGATTCCACCCCCTTCTGCATTTTCATGCTCTACTTCGCAGGGATTATCCATCTGCTGGTGGAAGAGACAAACTGGTACTACCACCAGTACCTAGACAGACTTCAAGATGGACCTTCTCCGTGGCCTGACGTAACCGATTCAGAGATGTTTCAGTTTCTAGGAATAATCATTCAAATGGGACATGATATTAGAGACAGACTAAAGGACTACTGGTCGACTGCAGAACAATTTGCCATGCCCTTCTACTCTAACACAATGATACGTGACCGTTTTCTACACATTCTTCGTTTTCTTCATTTTGCAGACAGCAATACAGAAACTGACAGGAATGCCGACAGTTATGACCGACTATGGAAAATTCGGACCATCTTCGACACTCTCAATGACGCATACGACAAATATTATAACCCTTCCGAACATTTGGCCATAGACGAGATAACTGTTAAATTCAAAGGGAGGGTGGTTTATAGGCAGTACATTCCCAAGAAACACAAACGTGTCGGAATCAAAATCTTTAAAATTTGTGACGCCGCTGGTTATACTTTTGACATGAAGGTTTACCTAGGAAAAGTCAGGACACGTGCTGACCAAGATGTGACAGTGACACATGCTACAGTTAGGGACCTATGCAGAAGTATTGAGGGCGTAGGTCACAAACTGTACATGGTCAATTTCTTTTCTTCACCAGACTCATTTGACAAACTGATGATAAAGGACATAACATGCTGTGGGACAGTCAGACTTAATCGGAAGGGTTTGCCTGACGATTTTCGACGAAGACGATTTCGACTGAAGAAAGGTGACATCAGTGTTAGGGTGAGACAGAACTTGACAGCACTAGTTTGGAAGGAAAAACGTGACATTTACATACTGACAAACATGCACTGTCCTCCAGCAGAAGGCAGTTTCTGTGATGAGCATGGAAATGCCATCAAGCCAGCAATTGTTGTTGACTACAACACGCACATGGGTTATGTCGACAAAGCGGACAGAATGGCAAACAGTTATACCATCAGTCGTCGGACCTGGAAATGGACAAATAAACTATTTTTCCATCTCCTGGATCTGACAATTCTGAACAGTTTCATCCTGTTGTCATCCTGTGGCATGAAATTGTCACACAGAGAATTTTGTCTCGCCCTTGTACGCAACATGCTGGAACATGCTGCAAGGGGTCCACCTAGCCCTCAAAGGTTCATGGGTCGACCTCCTGCCGTGTCATCTGCGATATCTCGATCAGAGGGGGCCACTCGACATCACGGGCCGACTTCCTCTAATAAGAGACTGAGGTGTCATATGTGCTCTTCGCGTGGGAAACGGAGTTACATCCGGACAAAGTGCACGAAGTGCAACATCGCACTCTGCATTTCCGGATATTTCCAACGGTACCACACGACAACATTCAGTTAGATGACGCAGGAGGGAAGACTTTGTACTTACAAAGCTGGTGTCCAAAAATAATGTAAGTAGAACAAGAATTTCTATCTTATAATTATTTTTTTAAAACACTGTAAGCACACGTAGACTGCGCGTACCCATACGGTGTTGCACGGCCACTTGGCTATACTTTAAAGGTCCCCATACGGTGTCCCTAGGCTCTTAAAGGTTATCACATTAAGGACCGGCGATTTAGATACTGAAATCACCCTGGGGCCACCATTATTAAACCTGCTATCCTAACTTGTGCACCGTTCATTTTAAAAAGTAATATAAAATCTAATTAATTTTATGAACTAAAATTTAGGACAACACTTACCAATGCTCCTAGAAGTGCTTGAGAGTGTGATATTTCTGGAAACATTCCCCCTTGTTAAGTGGAATTACACAGAACTTGCAAATGTAGACATACTCCCCTTTTTGTGAACTGTGCAAACACAGCATTGCCTAGAAGGATACTTCCCCTTGGAAGCATTTTCACGAGGGTATGCTTCCGCATATCACCCGACAGTCGCCCTGGAGGGTCCACATGAGGCCTGCATGGGGTGGGAGTTGATGGGCCCGGTCACACGAAGTCTGTGTCTGACTCTGGTTCTGCCGCCACCATCTGGTCTGTAGCCCAGGCCTTTGCCACATTCATCATAACTGCTTTGTACACAGGCGAGTCAAATGAAAACCTTAAATATTTTTTGAGTATTATTTATTGTTCACAAGTGGTACAAAGCTGTATCACTTTTCAACATAATCTCCCCCACCCACGCTCAATGCAAGTCCTCCAGCGCTTACAAAGTGCATGAATTCCTTTAGAAAAAAATTCTTTTGGTAGTCCGCACAACCACTCATGCACCGCGTGGCATACCTCTTCATCAGAACTGAACGTCTTTCCTCCCATTGCTTCTTTGAGTGGTCCAAACATATGGAAATCACTTGGGGGCAAGGTCTGGTGAGTATGCTGGATGAGGAAGGCACTCAAAATGCAGGTCATTGATTGTCACAACTGTTGTATGGGCAGTATGGGGCCTTGCATTGTCATGTCGCAAAAGGATACCTGTGGACAGCAATCCATGTCGCTTTGACTTGATTGCAGGCCGAAGATGATTTTTTAGATCAGAGTATGATGCACTGGTGACAGTGGTCCCTCTAGGCATGTAGTGCTCCAAGATGACGCCTTTTTCATCCCAATAGTGTGTCAGCATAACCTTCCCTGCTGATGGTTCTGTTTGAAACTTCTTCAGTTTTGGAGATGAGGAATGGAGCCAATCCTTGCTAGCTCTCTTCGTTTCCGGTTGGTGGAAGTGAACCCAGGTTTCGTCCCCAGTCACGATTCTTGCAAGGAAGTCATCACCTTCTTGTTCAAAGACCCGCAGAAGTTCTTCGCAAGCATCAATATGTCAGTCTTTCAATTCAGGAGTCAGCTGCCATGGCACCCATCTTGCAAACACTTTGTGAAACTGGAGCACATCGTGCACAATGTAGTGTGCTGAACCATGACTAATGTTTAAACTTGCTGCAATTTCATTCAATGTTACTCGGCAGTTTTCCCTCACTATGGTTTCATCTGCTGCAGTGTTCTCTGGAGTCACAACTCGATGTGCCTGACCCGTACGAGAAGCATCTTCCACTGAAGTCACACAATTTGCAAACTTCCTACTCCATTCGTACACTTGCTGCTGTGACAAACATGTATCACCATACTGAAACTTCATTCTTCGATAAATTTCAATAGGTTTCACACCTTCACTACACAAAAACCGAATAACAGAACGCTGTTCTTCCCTGGTGCAAGTCTCAAGTGGGGCAGCCATCTTATACTGGTGCTGTGACGGTGATCGTGCATCTGCACTATGCTGCAACCTACAGGCCATTCTCCACGCTGTTTGTAGCATGCTTACCAACTTACAGGATAATGGCGCGAAATTTCGATTCTTTATTACAAATTTAAGGTTTTCATTTGACTCACCCTCGTATTTCAATTTCGAATCAGGGTTTAGATTTTTGTGATTTTTTTAGATTTTTTACTGTCCCCACAATGTTATTACCCCCACTATCGTCGGAGCTACTGTCACTTTTACTGTGTTGCCACAATTCTTTGTTCTCCCGTCACTGCAGCTCTCTCAATCACCATGACTAGCATCTCACAAGGCAGGCCAGCTAGCTCATCGGAGAAGAATTTGACCTTGTCCATACCCCACCACAAACTACTGGCTGATACATACAGCTCGAAGAGCAGCAAAGCATTTTCTTTATAGCGGGTTAAGAACACAGTGTGGTCAAGTTACTGACAAGCAAGCAAACATTCCAGTTTTATTATGCCATTGTGTGCAACTTGGGTGGCGCCAGAGCAAGGTATAGTGTGTTACAACCTAACGTGTTCTAAAATCATGATATCATGCGACCGGTCCACCACGTTGAAAAGCCAAAAGCATGACATCATGCAACCAGTCCTCAGTGTGTTAAATGCAAGTCATGATCACAAAAACAAAGACAAAAAAATGTTTGCAGTGCCCTCCTATACTGGTTCAAAACAGACTATATAAATTTTCAATTATCATAAATTAAACAGAGTGTAGTACATGTATACAGTTATGAAAAAGAATGTACTATGACAAGTACACAATTATTATTCCTTGTTCCATGTAAGAATTTACTCACAAATTTTGTTTTATTTTTCAACACTCTAATTTGAGTGGCTGCCTTAGACTTCTCCTTGCATTAAAACAGAAAACATATCTGAATATTACTGAAATCATTTGGCAACTTCTCTCAGTCTTCCTCATTGCCAAGTTGGAGAGAAAAATTAAACTATTAACTCTTACAGGCATGTATAGTGAAACAAACTGGTTGAATCCAAAACATTAGCCACATATATATGTCAGTCCCAGACCATTTCTCTTTTAGGATTCATACCAATAGCAGATTCATAAATACCAACATACATAGGAACACCACACTTTTTAGTGCAGCCATCACAACATACCTGCTCAGTTTCTATTGTGTTGCTAGGGACACTCTTCTTGTCATCGCTGGCAATTTCACCAAGCCACTGCAATAACTGTTTCTCTGCATTTGCAGTTGTATTCCAAAACTGATATGCATTGTCTAATTTATACATACAATCACTGCAGATCTTCTTTGGAAGTTTGTCATCCCTTGCAACCTACAACAAGTAAAATTCAAAGTAATTCCAAACATAAGTTACTTCATTTTGGAAAAAACAAGTTACTATATTAAATCTGGCACAATTTCTTTGTTCCTGCCTCTAGATTTTCAATTCTTTAGTACACCTGACCCCACAGTATGTACTTTGAGAGTTGCACCAGATATATCAGCAGAAAGGCAGGAGGGTCTTAACATAAGACTGAACTGCACTGTTCTGTCACGCATGTCAGACCCACATCAAAAAGTAATAACAGCAGTGTTTCACCACAAGATGCACGGCTATGATACACAAATTTAAACTCTAAACTTAAACTTAAGAGATCATACTGGAACAGATTACTGATCAGAAGGCTTAAATCTGGAAATTAAAAACAGTTATATGTTATCATGTTTCACCCCTCCAATTCTTTTGAGGAAATCTAACACTGCATATGAGAAAGGTTATAACTGGACAAGATGTATGCCAGCTCTCTAGCACCCACTAATCATGCAGCTATCTAGCCATGACCTGTCAACCTGTTCAGGGAGAACCTCATACTCGCTGAGAAGTTTTTAGAAAATGACATAAGTCACTTCTTCCTGTGACAACGCTCCATTACCTGGACCCTTGAAAGAAGTGGCAAATTTTCACCTCCCATTCCTGGAAGCCCTGAAAAGGGCCATCACTTCCCTATTCTCAATAATTCCACACCTCTGACAAAAAAAAAATATACATGGAAACTGAAAATGTGATTTTTCTGCCTACCACTCCCACAGGCCCAGGCCAAGCTCCACACCACAAAATTTTGACATCAAACACTTCTTGGTCAATCACATACAATAGTAATATACAAATTTCACAAGGGTGTATAACAATCTAAGGTATCATACAGCTCATTTGGCAACAGAGGTAACACAAATTTTAAACTGTATGATTAAAAAAAGTACAGTGTCTGAACAGGGTATATGAAAAATGTTGCTGGTCTATGTCAATGTGGATTTCTCTATCTTCTTCAAATTTGTCCATTACATATCCTAGTGACCAGTAATTATCGCAGTGACTGTGCACAAAAGAACGTTTGGACACTGAAATATTTGGTCTGCCCACACACAGGATCCAAGGAATTTTCAATGTCATCGACTTCATTGTTGCCCCGATACAGCGGAACACTAAGCTCTATCCAATTTCACAGATGAAATCTTACGTGCTCTTAACAGTAAAGTGCATGTTGGTGGAATATCATGTGACACTGCTAAACCCCATGTGTTAATCATGAATACTAGTATTCATACTAAGCTTTTATGGAATACCTGCTGTAGCTGGCCAGTGGACTCATTCCTGCTTTCATAACAGGAAGCACCAAACACTTATAACATCAGCGAACTCACACTGGGGTGTTAGAAACATGTAGTTCCTGAAGGTTTAACACATGGTCCTTTCATTTCCCTCACACATATGAGCAAACTACCCATAACCAACAACTTACACTCTAAACCCATATTTTTCACCCGCAATAATAGTATTATTCTTTCGCATCTAGAAATTGACTTTTTTCAAAACTGCGTGCATGGCGTCTTTGCTAGCCTTAACAAATTTTGTACAAAAAGCAAAGTTTGTATCAATCTAAATACAGAGAATGGTGACAAACAACTAAATAAGTTACAACAACTAAATCATAGGTAATTTAAAGTTCAAGGAGGTGCATGCACTACCATCTATTTCCTGGCAAGGCAAACAAAATGGTACATGTATTGCAACAAAGGGGAAAACTTACTGTAGGGAAATGTTTAAGAAATGTAACATTTGTCAACTACCTAGCAAATTTTTACTCTCATTACCACCAGCTGCTTTGAACAACACGGAATATTTCTGAGCAAATCACATATGCTATGTACAAGATACAGACACAACACCCCTTGTGCTAACCATCATCAGAAAGGTGTCTACTGTACTAGAATTAAGTTAATAAATTCTTCCACACACAAACAGTTTAAACCAGCATTAAAAGAGCTTCTTGTATCTCCTACTAGGTACAAGACTTTACCTATCAATAATTCTCAATTACAAATACATGTACATAGTAAAAATAATGAATGGTGGGGTAACTCTGTGTTATAAGGGATGTATGTAAATATGTAAATAGCTGTTACTACTTTGTGTTTGTATTGGAAAAAATACTGTATCTGTATCATGACATGCCTGACTTAAGCCTATGAAGGATCCATGGTCCCGTACTGTTGCATCCTCTTTGCAGTGAAATGGATAGGCTGCTGTCACACAAATGTTTTTATTATTCCACTCATAACATGTTTTGGTCTGGCACCATCTGTATATTTCTCACCTGATAATGGCCTGAGTGGTAACATGTTCAGAGAAATAACAACATCTGTTTGTATAACTGTAACATCTGCATTTTTATTTGTAAGGATCTATGGAATTTAATTCAATTCAACTCATGTGAGTTGTGTTTTATTCTAATCGCCTAAAAGTATTTCTTTTCCGGAGAAAAAGCCTTCAAAATTTGCTAAAGATATGGTACACTGTTCCTTCTGACCTCTGGCCTTGAAAGTGGAAACCCAAAGCTCTGGCTGAAGAAGAGCCATAACATCACCATTGCAGTTTTGTTTTCCACATATAGCGAGTTTTATTGCTTATGTATGTTGTGCTGAATGCAGTTCTGTCTGCGGGGGTGACACAAGGAAAGCACTTGGGAGACAACTATATGCTGCCTAAATATGGTAAAGAAGTAAACAAATATGACAGACTACCAGTAGGGAGTTCTTTCAATCTATGCCTCACCATCTAACAACCATAACAAAACCTAACCTAAAAACTTCTACATTTAAGCTAATTTAAAATCAATCTTAAAATCAAAGCATTATTCAGGTAGGTTTTAAGATCAACATTAATATAATTTTAATCCAAACCACATATTTAATTTTAATTATTACACTTTAAAGAAAGTGGAAATCGAAATTAAGCCGTGAGGATTTGTTGCCCTGATCACGCGACATCCTCATTCCGCTAAAGCTGGAACTTCGCCAACAAGCGGCAGTCACTCAGTCGGTATAATGTGCTTATGGATTAAAGCCATGGAGTTTTTCTGTTTGTTTCTTTGTTAGATTATATTTGAACAAAAGGGTATATTTGCAAAAACAAGTGATAAAATATTGTAATAATATGGATCCATATTAAGAAAACAATTCAATGACTAAGAGCACATTTCTATAGATTCACCTGATGACGACCCTGTAAGGGTCAACAAATACACCAATGCCTCTGCCAAATAAACAATTGCTGGTATGTTACAGGGAGATCGAAAAGTCGCACAAACAAACTAAAAGTTGTTATAAATTGTATTGCAGTTAATATAATTATATCTCCTACCACTACATGGTACTGTAGGAGTACTAACAAAAAGTAGAAACGCCATCTGTCATGTATCAGTCATACAACGTCTGCAGTATAGCTTTGTATATTGCGTGACAGTCATACGTCTGCAGTATAGCTCTGTTTATTGCTTGACAGACATGTTGTTTTCCCAAGAATGTGTTTTCATTGTGGAACATTATTTTGCCAGTCATTCTTATGCATGTGTCACAGAAGAGTTTCATCAGGAATATCATGATTCTGCAGTTCCTAACATTTCAATGATAACAATAATAATCAACCAATTTTGGGAATGTGGATCAGTTTCAGATAGGGAGAGATCTGGGAGACCGGCCATTTTGACTGAGGCTAAACTGGCTGACGTGGAGAAAATGTTGCAGCATTCCCCTTCAAAAAGCCTGAGGAGACTATCAGCGCAATCAGGGATTTCGTACGGAAGTGCTCAGAAAGCGATGAAGTTACACCTTTGTGCATATCGTGTTCGCTGTGTGCAGGAACTGAACGACCTGGATAAAGAAAAATGCTTAGTGTAATTTAGATGGTTTCAGACATTTGTTGGCAACCGTGGAATTGAAGAGTTTGACCGGGTTTTCTTCACTGACAAAACATGGTTTCACCTTAGTGACTACATGAACAGTCAAAATAATAGGATTTAGTCATCTGAAAATCCACGTGTTACATGAAAAGCCCTTGCACTATCAGAAAATTGGGTGTTGGTTGCAGCAAAACGGTGCCACGTCACACATCTAATGAAACCATGCAGTTCTTGTGCAAGTTTTTCGGTAACTGTCTCATTTCGAAAGGATTGTGGCCCCCTGCGTTCACGTGATTTGTCACCCGCAGATTTTTTCCTTTGAGGGTACCTCAAAGGAATTGTCTATAAAAACAATCCGCATACACTGGACGACCTCAAGAGGACCATTACAATGGCGATTAACAGCATCAATTTACAGGTGCTCCACAAAGTGGTCTCAAACATGATAAAGAGAGCACGCGCATGCACTGCTGAACAGGGAAGCCATTTCGAGCATATGTTCTAAGACATGATTTGATTTTGCATTTCTAAGATGCAAAGTTATAAACATTAATAGTAAATAAATGCTGTATGTCTTGTAGTTTGTGCATTAAACCAGCAAAATATGATTGCTTAGTGTGATGTGCATGGCTTCCCCGATTTATTCATTGATATAATTGTTGTTCAGACAGTCCCATAAAACACACAACAGGATGTGTCTCATTAAAAGTCTCACAGTAAAATATATTCAACTACTCCGGCTAATTAAAATGTGCTTAAAGGTAACTTACAGTAAACTCTAAAAAGGTAAATACACTCAACTCTCAATTATCTGGGATAATGGCGGGGACGGAAATCACGATTAATCAAAAACCCAGTTAAGACAAATTTTATTAAAAGTAGTACTGTAATGTACTGTAATACTGTACCTTCATAATATTATAGGCCTACCTGTATTTAAATTCATTCAACCTCATTTTTATGTCATCTCATGGCCTATTTAATACTTTTCTTACATTACACTGAAGTATGAATTAGATATTTCAATCACAGTGTTCAACAACATCCAACACTTTTTACGAATATTCACACTTAACACTTAAAAAAATTTAAT